GTTTCTGAAATTAGAAATCAAAAAACAACAGAAATATGTTAGAATCTAAGTGAATCGGCTATAGACAAAAAGATAGATAAGACAATAAGGAATCGAAAAGAACCTTCGATTTTTTCGAAGATGAAGAAATGGTGCCCGAGTGCTTGCGTTTCCTAACGAAGGCCGATGGGTCTGACTCATCCGAGGACTCCCAGTCCTTCTCCTTCTCGGCGACAACAGTCTTAGAGGATTTTGAAACTGTCAAAAAAAGAAAACAGTTAGCTTATAATATAAAGAAAATTAAAAATATTCCTAAAAGAGGCAGCAAAATCTCACCAAAAGGTGATGGAGTCAAAATCGTGACTCGATCGATATGTACAAGCCAGAGAGGAAGAAGAATTTGAGGAAAATTTAGGTAAGGGAAATAGGACAATTTCGATACAGAAATATCTTTGTTTTTGGGCTTGGGATAAAGGATTTCTTTCAGGGATCTCAATTCTCGAACCCATTTAGGATGAGTTAGAGGTTTGGCAAGTTCAAAAGGAGCTGTAGGGAAAGTGGGAAGGGGATCGGGACAATACATTTCACACGAGGTTTTGCCTCGAGGATTGATTATTTTGTGGTTGGATCGATTAGTGTCTGTCTTATTGGCTAAGGAAATAACAGCGTCATAAAAGGTCGATTCTAATTTCAAAGGGTTGTAACAAACTCGATAAAAATTCTCGAATCGAGATATTTGAAGATAGTGGGAGTGTGTACCTTTCTTCGCCTTTGATTTGTCCTGCAACACAAGAGAAGGATGAGCAGTCAATTTTCGTTGGACTTCGTCAAAATCAGAATGATTACTCGAGAACCAATCGGCCCACCATTGAGAGAAACCCAGAGTTGATAAATAATTAGATTAAAAAACATAAGGATAAAAATGTATCGGGGTTTTTGGTAGCAGTTTGGTGAGCTCCCGTCCAATTGTAGATTCACTTAACTTGGACCTTGGGGAGGTATCGAGGGGGAAAAAAGGTAAGGCTTGACTCAAACCAAACTGCCTCGAGAAAAGTTGGGGGTAATAGGTGACAAGCTTAAAATCCTTGGAGTGAAAACCCGATACTAATACATCCTGAGTCAAATAATTACTCCACACGTCGACCAGCTCTGATTGTAACCCAGGAGTTAAGGCATGGAATTTGGACTTAAACCAAGATGGTCCTCGAAGTTGGTCGCTTATTCGTCCAAGATTCACAGTAAAAAGAGCCAAAGTTGAATCAAAATGAAACCTAGTTAACAAAAATCTAAGGTATTTACGGTAAGTCGCCTCGTCGGGTTTGTAATGAGGATGTCGAGAAGATAATCGAGCACCCTCTAAATCTACACTTGGGGGGATGTTGGAGGTCGGGGGGAGGATACTCTCAAAAATCGAATTTAGCCATAATTGGATAAACCAAATGGGGCCCGAAAAATTTCCCGTAGCTCTGGGTGTATTCAAAATCTCGACAGCCTCATCGAAAGTAGTATATACATGGGCTAACAAAAATTTGGCTAAACAAATTCTAGGCTGGCCGGTATGAAGGAGATAGGCAAGGTTATACAGGTGGGATGAAATTTGGATGGATCGGGGGCAGAAGACGTGAGTGCACAACCAGTATACCAAGAAGGCAACGTGCTCCTCATCGAAAACGAAACCGTTGGATCATCGATAAAATGCTTCTCGAGAAAATGACCATAGGCTTTCGATTCCCAATCGATTTTGGACCTTAGGGAATTATCCGAAGGAAAAGCACCCTTATAATACTTCTCCCCGTGGGCTTCAAACCAAGAATTGCAGCGACTTCGAAAAGGGTGGGCGAAAGGGGACCACAAGGGAGTTCTAACGCATGCAGGTCCTTATTCCACAAATGTATAGCAGACAGAAACATAGCCATATCCAAAAATGACAAATCGCATCGAGACAAATGCAAAAAATCGAAAATCCCCACATCTCTCCAATGATTCCCAAACTTAGTCTTAACCCTATCAAACCACCTAATGTACAAGAGTTTTTTGTAGGGGGGGCCCGTTCGGTATACTCTAGATACAACATTCAGAAAGTCAGTTTGAACCTCAGATTGATGAACAAGAGCCTGACTCTTTGAAGAAAGATTGAAGGAAGAAAAAGGTCCGCCACAAGAACGGATAGGACCCCCAAAAGCAAAATTTACATCATCAGCAATGTAAGGGATGAGTACCTGCGTCTCAGCGACCTTCCGAGAAGCTTCCTCCATTAGAGAAACCGGAGCAAATTTCTTGTTGTTGATCTCCAGTAGGTTAGAGGCCAACGAGGGAAGTGGTGGGGCTGAAAAATCAGAAGATTTGGAAGAGGTTGTCATTTCAGGAGAGTAGAGGAAAATAGAGGATAGAAGGTGAGGGTGCAAGGTTGATGACAAAGGCGTAAGGTAGAAGATGAAGTTGCAAAGGAGGAGTAAAAGTTCGCGTAAAAACCAGGGTGAAAGACCAACAAAGTGTTTAAAGGAAAACTACCTAGGGTACTGGAAACGACGGAGGCGAATGACAATTAATGTGGCGTGTACAGTAAGGCAGCAGACTGACGTGATGGTGACATAAAGCAGAAAGAAACCTAAAACCCTGAAAAACCCCAGAAACCCTAAAACATAAGTTATTGTAGGTCTCCAACACGCGAAGGCGAGAATCATGTTGAAAGAATATAAACAGAAACTATTTATATTCTTCCAATGGGGCATTTTGTTAGTGGGAAATCGATAAAGGGATCGAGAAACAAATGGGAGCAAAAATCGAGAACCATTTTGATTGAGTTAAAGACTGATAAATCGAAAGATAGTTGGAAAATACGTTCGACGACCATATGACAATATAAGCGAGAATTAGAATCGAAGGAAGAATGTTTAATATCCGTTAGTGAATGAAATTGAATTATGTAATGTTAAGGTTAAGAGAAATCAAAGGCAAGTCAAACGTTCTCGAGATTCCGAAATCAACATCGGGGGAAAGGTTAACCCATGTATCGAAATCCCGGCTAAGTTATAAAGAGAGGAACACTTGACGTGCACATCGAACATGGTAAGCGGTGGCAAAGGTCGAAGGTCAAAGGAGCAGTTACCTCATGTATAGGAACGTGAATGCAATTTCTAAACCGTAGAGCTAGGAGTAAAACTACAAAAGACGTGCACGCAGAACGTGGTAGCAGTTTTCATTAACTGCTCCTAAGAGATTACTTGAAAATGGGCTCTATAAATAGAGCGAAGGATGAAGGGAAAGGGAGGGTGGAAATTGGCAGAGAGAGCAGGAATACTAGTGAGAAGTCTACCGGAGAACGACGAATATCATGAAGTTTCTGGCGATCTGGATTTCCATGTTCATTGATTTCCTTTACCGTTTTCTTTATTTTCCCTGGTAATTTACTTTGATGCAGTTTATGTTTAGCAACTTTAAGTTTCTGCATTTTCGATTCCTTGTCATTTCTCTTTAATGAAAGTTAAGTTTCTGCGTTTAAGTTCATTGTCATTTATATTAACGTAATTTCGATTTCCTGCTATTCACTGTAATCTCGATTTCCTGTTATTTACATTTCTGTAATTTTGATTTCCTGTTATTTATATTTCCGCAATTTCGATGCTTTGCCATTTACACTTAATACAAATTTGAGGTTTCCGCATTTTTCATTCCTTCGCAGTTTTCCATTCGGTATTGCTCTTCAATTTGACATTTTACTGATTTCTTTATTTCGAGTAATTTGAATACAAAATACCAAAAATTGCACTTGTGATTTGCACTTTAAGTAGCGATGTTTGCATCCCTAAGATTCTCGATTCCCATGCATTTTTTCGATTGAAAACTAGTTGCTAGCCTAAATAAAAAGAATCTACGTGGTTGGAATTTGGTTAGAACAAAATCCCCTAGAAATCGAAATCAATCAAAATTCCACCAGAAACCGTTATATAAAATATTTGATTCAGATTTATTATTGAGAACCTTTGTGTTTGAATCTTATTGTTTCAAAAGTGGATGAAATCTTTAAAATATTTTCTTAATCTCATATTTAAATGGTTAAAAGAGGGATGATCATCTAAAAAAGCTGTGTAAAAAAGTTACAATAACAAAATTTATGATTCATTTTATTTTAAAATACTATTTTATTTATTATCACTTAGTTTTTTTATATATTTACTATATATAAAATAAAAAATATTAATATGTGAAGCACTTGTCAAGAATGTTACGTCTGGTAATAAATAAGAAATATTTTATCAACCGGTATTAAATTTATTATTAAAATTATTTTTAATGTAAATCAAATAATAATAATAATGCATGTAATTTATCTTAAAAAAATATTTTTAGTGAAAAAATATATGAATCATTATTAACTAAATTATCGTCATATTTTAATTATTTAATTATTGTTATATACCTTATCGTGATGTTGGATTAGATAAATAATAAGGAGTAACTTCCACAAATATTGCGTGTAGAAGGCTTGTAATTGTTACTTATAAAGTATATAAAATATGTCATGATCGAGTCTCACTTATCACTTACCCTTACATAAGCAGTTTTAAACAGAGATAAATATAACATAATAGTAGCAGGGAACAAAATCATAAAAATTAAATTTAAAGTTAGTTATTCAAAATTTTGATGATAACTTATATTTAAATTATATTTTTCTTTATTTAATTAATGTGAAGACAAATTAAGACGAGCGTTAAAATGGCGATTCTGGTGCTTACCCGACCCTAATCAATTATAAGGTAAGTTTGGGATCCGGAAAATCTAGACCCAACCAACCACTGTCATAGTTCTGAGAATGTCAAGGGATGATGATGTGCGCCGAAGCTAAACGGTGTTAGTGTTTTTGGCGCAGTTGCCTTTGGAAAAATTGTTTGAAATGAAAGCTTTGTATTCGTGTTTCTCTCTGAATCTGCATCTAACAAGATCTTTCACAGGGATGCGTCTAATTATCTAATTCACCCTAATTTCCCCTTCTATCCTAAAATCAATTCCGTTTCTTCATGGCATCTATTCAACCCTTCGTTCATTTGTTAGCATGGGTTTCTTTTATATGGTCTCTTGGGATTGCTGATTCACTTCCAACTCCGGTGAGTAAAATACCCTTTTTTTTTTTATGAATGGTGTTCCTCTGTCTTTGATTAAATAGAAATTGATGGCACATCCTGCCTTGTTTTCTTCTAAATTTACCAAATGAGTTCTTGCATTTTCAGGTGGTTGATTCTCTACATCATAAGCAAATTTCTCCCATCAATAATTTTTTTATGCAGTCGTATTATGACAGATACAAGAATTTACACGATTCCGATTATGAAAATTTTCTGTCTCAAGAAGTATCTTCTGGTTTGTGTGAACCAGATAACCTTGATTTCGTGTTGAGATTGTCAGATCTAAAGCGCAATCTTACTGGAGAAGGTTCTCATCGCACTGTATCTACATCGATCAAATTTCAAATAAAGTCTTTGTCTGAACTGTTAAGCTACTCATGTGAGTTCATTATTATTGAAAGACTTCCTTCTGGAGTTTTTGCTGATCCATTTGAGTTACAACATCTTGTTCAGCGTGGCGGTAAATACACTTAACCTGCTCTTAATATTTATAGAAAAAACAAAATTGAAAAAATATGCATACTTTTAAGTTCATGAGTATCACCTCACTTAATAACATGTTTTATTGCAGTGTTCAGTGATATAGCTGTCTTTGGTGACACAAATCTGGAGCTGCCTTCATTCATGTCCAACCGTTCTGCGGTTGAAATTCACTTAGTTGTTGACCCAAATGTATTGCAAAGGCCAACTGATCTAAACATTGAGCTTCCATTACATGCTCGATATCAAGTAAGACTATCATGGTTCAATTGTCTCGATGCCATATTCAACTAAGCTGTCCTTTAAATATAATATTGTGCAAAAGAAGTAGATTTATTTGATGGTAGGGTGAACATAGTATTATAATTTTTATTTTAAAAAACAAAAAATACTTCATTCCTCTCATCTTGAATGTGTCTTGCACAATCAAATTTTTACCTATAGAAAGAAGTGATCCATTATTAGCACCTAATTAATGCCGGTTTATCGGAAGAGTTGGGATTATGGATCTGATCAGGGGTTTTTGGAAACAAATATGCAAATACAAAATTAAAATGAAATTAATTTTGATAAAAATTGGTTCAAGAGTTTAATTAAGACTTTGTTATGATCAAATTAATTCACCAAACAAATACTCTTTTAGAGAGCCGAGGTAGAGAAGCTAGAAATTGATATATCTGTATAGAAACTTATAATCAGACAAAAAAACACTGTGTATATGTTGAGATCTGAAGAGGCCAGTACAATGAAGAATTGGTGTGGGTGGTGCAAGAGGGATCATATTAGGAATGATGAATGAATGATGAAGATTTGTGGGGAGTAATGGCTTTGGGATATTCCTTTGCAGGCAAAGGCCGATGAAATTATCTCCTCCACTTTGTGAACAGGAAAATCATCAAACACAACAACTTACCCGCCATAAAAGATTGCCAATTGACCACCTCTTACTTCCTTCTCCATTGACCTACAGAAAATCACATATCAGTGCCATTCATTACTTTTCTTCTACAAACACGACAACACACCTTGGTTTAACCTCGCAGTGGTTGCATAAGTATAACATGATGTATCAGTATGTGAAGCGTAAAAGTATTTCTCTTTTCCAGTTTTCAAGGGAAAAATCGGAGAAAAATAAAGATAGTTGGGGATTTTTATCCAAAAATTAAAATTTTAGAAGTTTTTTTAGTGCTTGAGATATTCTTTTGCAATCTTGATAATACGGAAATTTTTTTTTGAGAAAGTATGGAAACAAAATAAAATCTACTACTTGGCTTGTGCTCATTGATTCTTATGGTGTGTTGAATAACACTGTTTCATTCTTATACATAACTATATGTTTTCTCTTATATAAGATATTTGATTCAAATTTATTATTGAGAAACATTGTGTTTGAATCTTATTCTTTAAAACATTGTAAGTAGCGCACTGTAATCATCAACTAGATATCAAAATGATGATTATAAACAAGTTGAAGTGACGTGATTAATTACTTCTTAACATTGGTTCTAGTATTGTAATGCTTTGTTAACAGTGTTGATTTGTTCCTCTACTAGAATAAAATGACAGTGATTTGGACAAAATATGATACCAGTATGAATATCGTTAGTAACTGAGTTCAGGACTCTCTTTTCAAAACACAAATGATGAATGAGAGACTGTATCTTTGTTATAGTTACAGAGGCTTTACCTGATAGGGAAGAATATATTGGAAAGAAAATATGGGATAGTGTATTAGTAACATTTCTCATGCTAGTGCTATTACATGTTCTTTATAGCATGTACACTTTAGTCTATAGGACTGCCTCAACCCAAGTCATTTCTGCCTGTCTTTTTGCAGTCTCTGAATGAAAGTGGGTACTCAACCGTTGAATTTGGTGCACCTGATATGTTAGCGCGCTGCAACACAAAGGAGAAAGTGGAAAATCCCTATTGCTTCTTCAAATTGGAAAAAGATGGTGTTAATCTTTATGGCCCTCGAATTGTTTGGAGAATACCTTCTGGAATAAAGACGCATGCTAATCTTGTTTCTGCCTTTACATTTATTGCAGCTTCGTTATCAACCCTTGCAATTGTTGTTTCCTCATTATATTATTCCAATAGTTGATTGAGAAAATATTTAAAACGCGTGGGAGCATTGTTTTAAATAAAAGGGGAGAGGCACGAGAGGAATTTTAGCATGCAGGACCGGATACAGAAGTTAAGCATCGCGGCTAAAAACCATTAATAACAAATATTTAAAAAATATGAAATTATGAAATAGTAAGAGTTAAAACATCATAGGTTTCACTTAACTGTTCGTTGAATCATAAAATCATTAATGACAGAATTTTTATCTGTATTTTCAGCAATCCTTATTTCAGTATATGTAATCAAATAATTTGCTATAAATTCACCTTTGGGTAGATTCGGATTCAACCAAAATTTAAGAATGAAATAAATAATAAATAAATCAATAATGTAATGAGAAATATGAAGATGAAGAATAAATAAAAATCAATCTTTGTATCAGTAGGGATGTGTGATTTCGAATAAATTGTGCGAGTTGCAAGAGACCGATTTTGTTTCATTGAGTATCATCATATGGTTAAGAGTAATTATCTACTATGTATCAAAACCAGTTATTAATATATAATTTTCAAAGGAATGGGAAATCTGTCTAATACGCAAAGTTACAACATGAAGTTATGTTATGCAACAAATAACATTAATAATTTAATATATTCATACATAACATATGTGCAGGTTTTGACTAGTGTCCATGTTTTAAAGAAAAAAGACTTATGATGTATAGCGTTGGGTGGTTTCCTTGTTGTATGTAGCCAACGAGGAGAACAAAATGAGTTATGCCTTCAAATCGCTGCAACAATTCTTCCTCATACCCACACGAATGATGTTTCACTTTGATGATAAATAAAATAAGATTATTTTCATTAAATAAATTAAAATGAATAATATTATTTAATATCAGTAGTTTACTAAAAATTGTAAATATATTAAAAACTAATACAACTACCTGCATTAATCTTATTAAAATTTATAGATAAATATTCTCTTTGTTATGCATTCATTTGGAGGGACCATTCTGGTGCAATTTATTTTTGAAATTTTTAAAATAAGTATTTTTTTAGTGTTTGTAAATATGACTTCAAATTTTTTTAAAATATGACATTTAAAAAAAATTAATACTTAAGTCATATATCAAAAGACGGAGTTCAATTTTTTTGTTCTTTTTTTTTAACTTTCAGTGAAGTAAAATGGTATTTTAAAATGTTTTGATTTTTACATTTTAATATAATAATATAATTAATTATTCTTATTATTATTATAATAATGATAAAAATATTACTACTAATAATTATAGTTATACCAATAAATAATAATGATTTATCCTTTAATTATTATAATCATAATATTATTATTTATTATTTATTATTATTATATTTACTATTATTTGTCTATATTTAATTAATTATTATATTATTGTATTTTTATTTATTTTAATTGCCATTATTATTATTTTCATCATTATTATATTTATTATTATAAATAACATTAAAAATAAAAAATATATTAATACTAATAGTAAATTACATTTATTGTTAATGATTTTATTTTATTATAATTTTTAAATTTTTTTACTGTTATTTATAATAATAAATATAATAATGATGAAAATAATAATTATAATTAAAAACAAATAAAAAGAGTAAAAATATGATAATTAAGAAAAAATAGAAAAATAATAATAGTAATAATAATAAAATTATTATAATAGTAAATAATAAAAATATTATTATTATTATTATTATTTATTGATATAACTATAATTATTAATAATAATATTTTTATCATTATTATTATTATCAAAATAAGTAATAATAAAAAATTAAAACATAAAAAAAATGAAATCATAGATGAAAATACGACTTAACTTCTGTAAGTAATGAAAAAAACAAAATAGAACTTCTCTTTTGATATACTATTTCAGTATTAAAATTGTCAATAAATAAATAAATAAATATTTATATTTGAAAGCATGCATGCAAAGTGGTGTTTTCAGCACTTACCAATTTACATATATTTTTTTTATAAGAATACCCTTCTGCAAATTAAAAAATTAAATATATATATATATATATATATATATATATATATATATACCAGAATGGTCTTTTGTCTCATTGGACCAGCTGAATACCCGAAAGTTGGAAGGAATTTAATCATGACACTTACATCTTTCTAATAAACATATCAATTTGTCTCTACTCACATCACACAACCCAAATTTCAAACCTAACTAGTTCGCCTATTTATTTATACTGCTACTTTAACTTTTTTATTTAATAAGAATTTATGAATGTCACAACAAAGGAATCTAAGCATTTTTTTTTAATAATTGACAAATAATCTCTCCATAAGTAGTGGTAATTTGAATGTCTTATTAATAATCTCTGCCATTATTATGGTTATAAGAAATTTAACATTATATATTTTTAAAATAGCAACTAAGAAAATAAATAAAATAAATCTGTGTATGTCAATATACTTTATTTATAATTTATTCTTATCTAAATCTTAAATATTAGTACATACCTGATATGATAATATCAACAATTACTATAATGTTATCTCTTGTTTTTTTTTTTCTTACAAATGATAATTTTTCAAACGATAATATGTTTAGTATTTGTTTTTCTTTTTATTAAAATCTTAAATATTTTATGCATAAATAATTATAATAATATTCTATTATATTGATAGAAATGTACTTTTATTTAATAATAATAACAATACTAAGTATTGTTAAAAATATTTTTCACCTAATATTTTTTTTTGCCTTTATTGGGTAGCATGTTTGGCATGAGAAGGAGAAAGAAAATGAAAAAAAAAAACATATATGTGAGATGATTATTTAGTAAATTTAACACCTAAATAAATTATATAAAATTATAAATAAACATGTATAATATTTGTATCTGAATTTAAAATAAATATTTATAAACATACGAGAGATTTTATATATATTTATATATATAAATATAAATATATATATATATATATATATATATATATATTACTAAATATAATTTATACATATAGAAGGAAAAATAAAGTTTTTTTTTCACATAATTGTATTAGATATATTTTTGGTTTGTCTGATTTTATTTTTTTTAGTTTTTAAAAATAACTTCAGATGTAATATTGAAAATATATCTTATTTATTGATTTTATTTTAAAAATCATTTAAATTTAATATTAACGATAATAATAAAAATAAGTGTTAAAATATACTTACTAATAAAAAATAGAAGACTAAAAGAATTTTTTTTATCAAATTTGTTTTTTAGTTTTTAAAAACTTTAAAATAATTTTTTAATAATTATTTTAAAATTAATAATTAAGACTAGTTTGATTTGATTTGATTTATTAGTTTTTAAAAATAATTTTAGAGATGAATTTTGGAATTTTGTTTTTAAATTATTCCTTTTACTATATATTTCAAAAATTTACTTAAAAAAATAAAATAGAAAAAAGTAAAAATAAAATAAAATTAATAAACAATGAAGATAGATAACTCAGTACAAATATTGATGATATTGATTAATGCAAGTAGAAAATAAAATTTATTGATTTGTATTTTTAAATTAAAAAAATAGAAATTTATTTTAATAAAATGGTAATCAAAACAAGTTTTTAAGAATTTAGAATTATTTAAAAAAAATTAATGCAAGTAAACCTTGTTAAATCATACAGAAATCTATAAAATAACTACTATAAGATAAATTTTTAAATATAATATTTTAATTTTGTTGGTATATTATGATTAGAAAAAAATATGAATGTAATAGACATATATAATTTTGTTTTTTTATGTTTGACAAAAATATTCCACTTAAAAAAATATTTAAAAGATATTTTTCATCCTTATGAAAAAAAGTTTTCATTTTTCCTTGTCTTTCTAAACTTTTTTAATACATTTTAATATTTCAGAGTTATAGATAATTGGGGAATTAACCTCTATTAGTGACTTTTGAGATAAAATATATTTTGTCCTTAAAAATTGTAAATATTTATTGTATTAGTCTTTTATAAATACGTAATTATTGTTAATGAGTAGAAAATAGTTAATGCTTTAAGATTTTTTTAATGATCTATTTAATATAGTTAAGTTTTTATTTAAAAATCCGATGATTTATTATTATGTAATAGATAAATCAAATACTAAGTTTATGAATAAATGTTAACTTGAAGATACTACACTTGTAATTTTAGAAAATTTGAAAAATATTAAAATAAAAAAATCGAATACATATAATTTTTGAAATGGATAAAAAATATGTTTATGATTTATGGAGATTAAAAAAATTTGAAAATATTTAAAAGGTCAAAAAAGTAAAGATTTTTAATTTGTCAGAATTTTCTAATCCTAGACAACGCCAAAACCGAAAGAAAACGCGAAATAAAAAAACGGAAAAAGGAATTAAAAGAGAAAGAGAGCATGTTGATGGCACGGGAATGACCAGAAGAACAGCAACAATGTTGCTGCGTGGTTAGCAGTGAGAGAGAGAGAGAGAGAGAGAGAGAGAGAGAGAGAGAGAGAGAGAGAGAGAGAGAAACACAATCGAATGCGACACCTCTCGCGTAGGGATCAATTCCCCTCGTTCCACGTTCGAATTTATTTTCTCTGCAAATCGTGATGGAAGCGTTGATTGAGTTATGCGACCTCATTGCGCAGAATCCGTTGCAATTCGCTGACAAGCTCTCTTGGATATGCGACAAATGCCCTCCACCGGAGTACCTATCAGCGGGATCTCATAGGGTTTCGCGCTCTCAGCTCAATGCCATCCTCGCCGTCGCGCGCTTCCTCTCCAACTGCCCCTATTCCACCGATCTGCGCCCAAAGTCCGTCGTCCTCGAGTTTCTCCGCTCCGTTCCCCAATCCTTCACTCAGTCCTTCTGGCCCCTCCCTTTCAACGCCGATTCCGTCGCCTCTTTCTTCCTCGATTTCACCGGCTACGTTTCCAAGGCCGCGAAAGCGTCGCCGGATTTTGCCGAGGAGCTCAGCTCCTTCGCTGGCGAAATAATCATTTCCGCGATCGGGGAACCGAGCTCCAGCGTTGCTAGGGCTTTCTTGGCCGGTCTGGCGCAGAACTATGTCCCAATTTCCTCCTCCGATGGCAACAGATTGTTGACTTGTTTAATCGATCAATTCTCTGCGCATGCTGTCTCTGTTACCTGCACTCCGAAGGAACTGCTCATTGCGGAAAATTCCTCGTCTCAGAGCTCGCCCCTCAGTGTGAACCAGCAACCCCTGACTAATTGCAATGTCAGTTCAGGGAATGAGAATGCTTCGGGTTCCTCGAGCAGTGTGGCTTCTAAGGCTGCGGATGATGCTAGCACGGCGTCGTCGAGAGGGGTGGTGAACGGGCCCCACCATGTTTATAGAAGCAGTGCTGATCAATTGGCGCTAAGTTTAGGTTTAAATGATGGTACACTTGGCGCAGTCTCGTCTGCGCAGCAAGTTACTTCCTTCGAGGAAGAGTCTGTGGAGTTCTTGGAGAGGCAGGAAATAGCTTTTAAGTTGATTGCTCACGTGTTGGAAAATGTCCACATTGAGTCTGCACTTTTGGAGCAGATTAGGTTAATTGGGAAGAAGCAGATACAATCCATGTCTGTTTTTCTGAAGGTATAATATGTTTCTATAATTCCCTCTTCACTCTCTTAATTTGTTACGATTATTTGAATTAGTGAGTATCTATCTTTCCTCACTATGTGGATTGTAGTTGAGATTCAGGTTAAGACATTTTCTAACACACTTTGCTACTGAAGGTTAAGACAAATTTATTGGAAATTGTAGCATTATGCATGAGACATTAAATACGGAGTGTGACCAAAATTTTTTTATAATTTTCAATAAATTACAAGAATGTGTTGTTTGCATGTTTGTATGTTCTTGCAGATAAGGAAGAGGGATTGGCATGAGCAGGGATCGCTTTTAAAAGCTAGGATTAATACAAAACTTTCAGTTTATAAGGCTGCAGTGAACCTGAAAATCAAGAGCCTCTCAGCACTGGATTCTGATTCAAGGTCTGTTAAGAGATTGGTTTATGAGGCAGTTGCAATATTAATAGATGCTGCTGAGGCATGCTTACTCTCTGGATGGCGTAAGTTGAGATCGTGTGAAGATCTCTTCAGCTCATTGCTTATAGGGGTTGGACAGATTGCTGTTGCCCGCGGAGGACAGCCACTGCGCATTTTGCTCATTCGCCTAAAGCCAATTGTTCTCAATGTTTGTGCTCAGGTGTGCTTTGTTACTTTTCAATATTATATTTCTGTCGTGATTTGTTTTCAAATTACATTCCAACTGCAGTTTTCTTAAATTTCGAAGTATTTGTGACAGCCTGATACATGGAGTAACAACCAGGTCACCATGTTTGAGAGTGTCACAAAGGCCAGCTGTCAGATTATTCAATCATGCTGGAATAAGGAGCGGGCGCCTGTAGACACATACATAATGGGATTAGCCACAAGCATACGTGAACGGAATGATTATGATGAACAGGTGCACATACTAATGGTCACATTCCCATAATGCAGAAACTGGTGATAAATAATAGTAAATGTATATCTGGTCGAGTCAACATTTTAAATTTGTTTTTTTTTGTTGCTTTTGTACGTATCTATACAAAAGATATCATGTCCATACATTCAGACGTGATCAATGTTTGTTTTTTATTTCATACTTCCCATATATATTTAATGGATTTAACATTTCAGTTTTCACGCACTTAAATCTCCAGTTGCATTTTTAGTTTTATCAATTCATATGGTTAGTAGGTTTTTCTTGTTTCATATGCGTGCATGGGATCTTCAGTTATTGACATCCTTTTAATTTTAAGCATGTTAATTTAATGTATCTAGTCACGTCTTAAGTTATTTGCATGCTTACAGAATCTTGTTTTGCCGATAGGACAACCAAGAGAAACCTGCAGTACCTTTTGTACAGCTTAATGTTATACGCTTGTTTGCTGAGCTGAGCGTTGCAGTCAACAAGTCTGAACTGGTAGATGTGATATTACCACTTTTTATTGAAAGCCTAGAAGAGGGTGATGCTTCAACACCTAGTTTGTTGAGACTTCGAGTATGGAACTTTGTATTCAGAGAATGTATTTTAATTATTCTGAAAATTGTCAATTTATTTTACGACCCTCCTCGTTGTTCATTTATCTATCAATTTTTTGGCTTCTTATTATGAATCTCACATTTTTTGTTGTGATCCATACAGCTTCTTGATGCTGTGTCTCAAATGGCCAGTTTAGGTTTTGACAAATCTTACCGTGAAACAGTGGTTTTGATGACTAGAAGTTACTTGAACAAACTTTCCAATGTAGGATCAGCTGAAAGCAAAACGGAGGCAGCTGAAGCCACAACTGAGCGTGTTGAAGTATGTTGTATATCTAAAAGTCTCAGTGACATATGTTAGATTTGGCTTGTTTGATGTATACTGTCAAATGGATTCTCACTAGTTGAATTACATTCTAGACTCTACCTGCAGGATTTCTTGTTATTGCTAGTGGTCTTTCTAGTGATAAATTGCGGTCAGATTTTCGTCATCGACTGCTCTCCCTATGCTCAGATGTTGGTTTAGCTGCTGAGGCTAAAAGTGGAAGGTACACCTGTTTTGCTATTCTGAGCACTTGACTTGACAATGTTCTAATAACGTTTGATATTTTGTTTAAACTTGGCTGGGTTTAAATTCAATTTCATTTCCATGATTAATTATGCTTTATGAAGATTTCACATCTGATGCTTACTCACTGCAGGAGTGGAGCAGATTTCCTGGGTCCGCTGCTCCCTGCAGTTGCTGCAATTTGTTCCGATTTTAATCCTACTTTAAATGTGGAGCCATCACTTTTAAAACTATTTCGCAACCTATGGTTCTATATTGCTCTTTTTGGCCTAGCACCACCAATACAAAAGACTCCAGTGACTACAAAGTCAGTTTCCACTACACTGAACAGTGCAGGAAGCACGGGTCCAATTTCCCTTCAAGCTGTAAATGGACCATATATGTGGAATGTGGAGTGGTCTTTTGCTGTTCAACGAATTTCCCAGGGGACTCCTCCACTAGTAAGTTGATCCTTAACTTTTTTGGTAAACAACTCCATTGGTAATATTTTCCTGTGTATGTTTATAGTTAGGGAATTTGTTGTTTTGCCATGTTGTTGTCTCAGTATATTTGTGTTTCAACATTATCTAGAAGGAGTGCGACACAGTTTAGCTTTTTCCCTCATGCTTTTCTAAATTATTATGAATTCAATAACTTTATCATCCCCAAAATTTAATTCCTTGCACTAGACTGAGTCTTAATATCATCATGTTTCTGCCTAGGTTGTTAGCTCAGTTAAATGGCTTGAGGATGAGTTAGAATTAAATGCTTTACACAACCCAGGCAGCCGTCAAGGCAATGGCAATGAGAAAGCTGCTCTTTCACAAAGAGCTGCTCTTTCTGCAGCTTTAGGAGGGAGAGTTGATGTCGCAGCAATGACCACAATCTCAGGTGGATTGCACTTGCTTTATAATTCATTAATTCTTATTATATGAATTGTCAACACTTTCAGATTTTTAGAGAGGTACTGGATCTCGTGTCAGCCTCATAAGACATTTTAATTGTTTAGCACTCCTTCTCATCTTTAACACATTGCTATTGAAATCAATTCATTGTAAATTCAGGGTGATACTTGATAAGAGCTTTGGGAGAATCATACACATAGGCGATTGTATCCTAAACAAGGTTATTAGACTCGAGAGTCTACCTAAACTCGTGAGAGGCTCGGTAAACTCGACTCGTAAATTCGACTCGTAAACTCGTAAGAGTTTACTTTATATGAAAAATACCAATTTAATAATAAATATAATAATATTAATTCCTCATTATTAAAATAATCAAAATAAAAACTTAATTGAATTTGTACAATAGTATAATCAAAATTAAAAAAATAATTAAAAAATATTAAATGTCTAAAATCTCTCTATCTAAAATCCCAAATCCTTTAATCTCTCAATCTAACTTGTTTTATCTATTCAAAAACCCTAAAATCACAAACCCCTCAATTCATCAATCTAACCTAGAGGACGGTGCGCAACGACGAGCAACGACAAGGAACGTGACCACCGCACGACCCCAAGTGAATGTCGTGCGACCATCGCGTGACCCAGGTGAACGTGCACGACCAAGCGAGCGTCACGTCACCACTGCGCGACCAAGGACAAGCACACGACGACGACCACGACAATGATAAGCAGCGACGGATAGTGGGAAGGAGCGAGATCTGAACTTATGAAAAAAAATGAGGAGAGTAAAAAATGATTTAAGTATTTCTTTTTCTTCAAACTCGGTGACTCGCCTCTAACTCGAGAGTTTACTTAGAGTCTATCGAGTTTACCGAGTTTGACTCAGAGTCTACTAAAAAAAGAGTTTACTCACGAGTTAACTCGTATCTGGTTATTTGACTCGTTAACTCGTAAGAGTCAGCGAGTTGACTCGAGAGTTTGATAACCTTGATCCTAAAAATATTTCACATGTTTTGCATAGTGTTTGAACATGTTGGCAAGTCTTAAACTGGCATTTCCATGTTCATAGCCACGTGCCATTAACAAGCATCAAAATTAAATATTTCTTTAATGATATGTTTTGTGGTAAACTTCTTAATTATATAGAAGTGTGAACTTAACTATTATTTGTTTGTGAACATGAATTAACCTTTTAAGGTTAATCCGATTGTTTTAATCATTTTGACATATTGGTCATATCTCGGACTCATTCATAGCCTTCTTCTGTTGAGTGTTGACAGGCAATTAAAATTATATTTGGCACTGTTTTATATATTTAAATTCTCATGTCCAATTTTTTGCTGCATGCTTTATTTTACACCATATTACGCTGACAATTTGGAAATTTGAGTTTATAATATGGTTTCTATTTAGGTTGGAGTGCACTCCCTTCCCTCTCCTCAACTTTTATACCATTCTTTTTGTGCAACCCCCACTCTATCATGATTGTTGTGGTGCATTACTCATGTTTGTTTTGCAGAAGTGAAGGCTACTTATCTTCTTGCTGTAGCTTTTCTTGAGATCATCCGCTTCAGCAGCAATGGTGGAATCCTAAATGGTGGAACCACTATGGATTCTGCAAGAAGTGCCTTTAATTGTGTGTTTGAGTATCTCAAGACTCCAAATTTAATGCCAGCTGTCTTCCAGTGTTTAACAGCTATTGTCCACAGGGCTTTTGAAACAGCTGTGTCGTGGCTGGTAGGCATTTGTTTTACTTTTAACCACATTTATTGCTAATGCTCACCATTATGTGTACTCATCATGAGGCCCGTAAACCTCAAACCATGAAGCTTGGACATGTTTACTTACTGATAAGTGGTTATTGTCTTTATTGAGCTAGTAATTGTTTACTATTCGTCCCAAAGATTTGAGGTGGTATGAAAAATGGCTAAGTATGTATATGTAAAACAAATCTATTCTCTGTTTTTTGTTTGAAGGATGTTACTTTTGCTGCACCAATTGTTTTATGTTTATGAATAGAACTTCATAATTGTTTGTTAAGAAGCATCCAAACGTTTATCCAGAACAGTCTCACAAAGATCTAAAATGTCACCTGGTTTTTATCTTGTGGAGGACTAAGTGGTGACAAAAGATGATGAATATATATGTTGCTTCAATTGTGGTCATCCCTAGCCTTCCTTGATTGCAGCCTATATTAGAATTGGTTGTCAGTGTCTTGGAAAGGGCAACTTATGTAGGGGATGACCAAAAAGACAGAGTGAAAGGCATAGTATGCAATCACTGGAATGTCAATCCTTAGGCAATTGCTATCTTATATCAACTAGAGATATGACCTAAGTAGTGCTTATAAGTCTTGAGTAGTCCTCATCAGTTGGTTTTATGGGGTTGAATTAGGTCTTAGAATCAATTTTTATGTTGCTTGCATTGTCACACCTTGAGTGCGAGGGACCGCATTGGAAAGCCATCTTAATTGTAATCACCTTCAGCTCATTTTTGTTGCAACCTATTAGAGAGGTTATGTGAAGTGGTTATAGTATGTAGTCATGGAGATGTCAGCTCTTATAAGGTTTGAACAGTTCTTATTTTACAAGTTGGTTTTGTGGAGTTGAATTGGACTCTAAGCCCAAACGGCCCGAAGTGTTTACTCTTTAAATAATTAGCATCTACATTTTCTTTTTTTATGTCCAAAATTGAACTCCTTAAAAAAACATTTGAAGATTGTTATAGTTGTATACTTGTATTGACAAATTCAACAGGTTCACGCCCATTGACGTGATTCTGAGTTTTTATGGTCTAATCTAGATTAGGTGTATATGACCTAACGATTGTGATTAGCTATGCACTGGTGCTAGCATTTTTGTTATGTTCATGAATTTTTTTTTGAGGTTAAAGACTGATTTTGTCGTCGTTTTCTATGTTTTTGCACTATGTGGATTATGGACTCAACTGATTGGTCTGGCTTCAGGAAGATCAAGTGTCCGAAATAGGGCATGAAGCTGAGACCAGAGATTCAATACTTACAATGCATACCTGTTTTCTAATAAAAAGTCTGAGCCAGAGGGAGGATCATATAAGAGATATTACAGAGAACTTGTTGACTCAGCTTAGAGACAAGTTTCCACAGGTAAATTGTCAGCAGTATCTGCTATAAATATGGGTACATGTATATGTAGTTACTTGCCTAATGTCTAATCTTCTTTCTTGACATCTGCAATATATTTAAGACTAATAGTATATTTTCAGGTTTTATGGTATTCTTCCTGCATAGACTCTATGCTGTTTTCATTTAATGATGACTCTTCCACTACCATCATCAATGATCCTGCTTGGACAGCTACAGTCCGTACCTTGTATCAGAGAATTGTTCGAGAGTGGATAATTAAAGCACTTTCAAGTGCTCCATGCACTAGCCAGGGTCTTCTTCAGGTTGGGCTGATCTGTTTCATTGCAGAAAATCAATATTTCAAGTTTTTGTAGTTTCCTTGTCCTCATCATCATTATCATATTCTCAACAATATGGGGTATCCTGTATGACCAGAATTATAATTTTATTTGAAAATTAAAATTAAAATCCCTATATAAGGCAAGTGTCTAATGCTGAATGATCATTTGCTTTGGGTGAGCCTCATTCTATGCACAAAAAAGTAAACTATAGAAAATTTGAGGTTTGATTTTATGTGCTTCTGTTTCCTCTGTTGAAATTCCCTTCATTTGTATCTACTGATTGCACTTAACATCTGATTGTACTGAACTGTCATTCTGGAACTGCTCCCAAAATGTGGTGTCTGAGTATATTTTATTGTGCCTTAATTCCTTCCATTTTGATTATTACTTACTTGCTAATGCTTATATCTTTCCATTTACATTTTCTATTAGTGACATTGTAAAAATATATTTAATTTTATTAAGTCCTCACAAGTTTCTCTTTGCACTATCTCTGTATGTATTCAACATCAGGATAAACTTTGTAAAGCAAATACGTGGCAAAGAGCACAGCCCACAATTGATGTTGTTTTACTTTTATCCGAGATAAGAATTGGGACTGGGAAAAATGACTGGCCTATACAAACAGCAAATATTCCTGCAGTCATGGCTGCAGCAGCTGCCGCTTCAGGGGCAAACTTAAAAGCATCAGAGTCCTTTAACTTAGATGTTATCAGTTCTGGTAAGTGCAACCAAGCCGCAGCGACAGTTAAGTGCAACCATGCTGGAGAAATTGCTGGAATGAGAAGGTTGTATAACAGCATTGGTGGATTTCAGTCCAGTACTGCACCTCCTGGTCTTGGACTTGGAGCTGGGCTTCAAAGAATTATATCTGGAGCTTTTCCTCAGCAGCCACAAGCTGAGGATGACTCATTTAATGGAATGTTGCTTAATAAGTTTGTGCGTTTACTTCAGCAGTTTGTCAACATAGCAGAGAAAGGTGGAGAAGTCGTCAGGTCTGAATTTCGTGATACTTGCTCTCAGGCCACTGTGCTTCTTTTGTCAAATTTGGTAAATACATTTCTTGCTAGTATTTTACTTGGTTATATTAGAAGTTAGAGCTCTCAGGGAATCTATATTTCATACCATTATCTGAGTTATGTTTTTTCTTATGGACAAGAGTTCTGGATCCAAATCGAACATGGAGGGCTTCTCACAACTTCTCCGTCTTCTTTGTTGGTGTCCTGCTTACATTTCTACCCATGATGCAATGGAAACTGGTGTTTTCATATGGACATGGTTGGTTTCTGCTGCACCCGAGCTTGGAGCTCTCGTACTTGCTGAGCTTGTTGATGCATGGTTATGGACAATTGACACCAAGCGAGGTCTCTTTGCCTCTGAAACAAGGTTTTCTGGACCTGCTGCAAAACTCAGGCCTCACCTGTCCCCTGGGGAGCCTGAACCGCAGCCTGAGATTAATCCTGTTGAGCAGATTATTGCTCATCGACTGTGGCTTGGATTTCTCATTGATCGCTTTGAGGTTAGGCATTGATTGTTTTGAGATCCCCCTATCTATTATCCTAGATTTCCTCATTTTGCCACTTATCTACATTGGTTGATTCTTTGTTTAAATGTTTGTTTCAATCTTAAGTGGCCATTTTGTGTTTTCAGATTTATATGGTATAAAAAGGAAAATCATGAAAAACTATTGTGTAATTTGTTTAGTTTGAGAAACCTAAGATTTGTGTTTAAACTGCTGTTCAGATTGTGGTTGTTAATAAATTAATAATGAATAAATCATCAGTTGCAGTTACACATTTAAATTGAAAATTATATTTTGTTTGGAGCTATACTTAAATTGGCATATGGAAATGTGAAGTTGGTAGTGTTGAATATTTGATTTCTCTACCAATCGACTAGATTTTTAGTGAACTATAGTTGTTTGACACGGATTAATGAATTCAGGAACATATTCATGAACCAACCTTTATTTGAAGATTGATACTCAGTTATTGATTAGTGGATCATTGTTAGAACTGGAAAGAGAATTTACCAGAAGTATAGGAACTGAATATTATTATCAAGAATCAATGTGTTACTTGATAAAGAAGTTGTAATATTGATGATAAAGAGATCATATTACAATCAAAACTGAATGTAGAAAGAGAAAGAATTTTCCCAACGGATTCCAACTATCCGTTCCAACTAACTTTTCCCAAAGTCCCAAAAAACCTCCCTTTACAGAGGAGCATCACCTCTTGTTTAAATCTTTTCCCTAACTAACTACCATCATCATTTAGCTAATTTTGCCTCTACTTACAGCCTGGAGCCCGTCTGGAGTACACGTGTTTAATTGGAGGTCTTGGCCTTACTAGCTGATGGACTCTATCAATACTCCCCCCTATGAGAGCTAACTTGTCCTCAAGTGGAAACTGTGGAAAACTAGATTGTAACTGGGATACACTCTCCCAAGAACTATCACAAGGTGGCAGATCCGCCCAGTGAACTAACACCTCTGTTTGCCCTTGTTGATTATGTCTCCACTGTATTAATTCTTTAGGCTGGTCTTGTAATTCTAACTCCTCACTCAACATTGGTGGCAAAGGTTGGATTTGTTGAGTGGCTTTAATAGCTTTTTTTAGTAAAGATACATGGAAAACTGGATGCACCCTAGTATGCTCCGTAAAGCTAACTTATAAGCCACCTCTCCAATCTTATCAAGCACTTGATAAGGACCATAGAATTTAGCTGATAGCTTGGCAAAAGGTCTGCTAGCCAAAGATTTCAGTTTATATGGATGCAACTTCAAATAAACCCAATCACCTACCTCAAACTGCACTGCTCTCCTGTGCTTGTTGGCTTGAGATTTCATTAAATCTTGTGCTCTCAATAAATTTTGTTGCAATTCTGATAACACCACATCTCTCTGAAACAACAATTGATTGACTTCTTCCACTTTAGAAGTAAAAGTGCAGCCCTTAATCAACATAGGAGGGTCTCTGCCGTGTTGAGCCTTAAAAGGGGTCATGCCAGCTGAACTATTGTAGTTAGTGTTAAACCAAAACTCAGCCCATGGTAACCAATCAACCCAAGATTTAGGTTTTGGTCCTATAAAACATCTCAAATAAGTTTCTAGACTACGGTTGACTACCTCAGTTTAGCCGTCCGTTTGAGGGTGATAAGCCGTGCTAAGTTTAAGTTTAGTACCCGCCAACTTGAACAATTCCTGCCAAAATTGGCTGAGAAAAATTTGATCCCTATCAGATACTATTGATGATGGAAAACTGTGAAGCCCGACTATTTCTTTTAGGAAAATAGTTGCTATTTCCTTGGCTGTATAAGGGTGTCCGAGAGGGAAAAAATGGGCAAATTTGGTCAGCTTGTCCACAACTACCAAAATGGTGTCTTTCCCTTATAAAATCCATAGAGATATCTTGCCAAACTTGTGTAGGGACAGGGAGAGGCTACAGTAAACCTCCAGGACTCAAGGTTGAATATTTCGCTCTTTGGCAAACTTCACAGGCTTCAACGTACTTTTTAATATATCCCTTCATACCCTCCCAATAGAAAAAACTGGACACCCTTTTGTAGGTTCTAAAGAAACCAGAATGACCTCCCGTAGGGCCATCATGGCATTTGGCCATAATGATAGGGATGCGATTAGAATCTTTGGACAACACCAATCTACCCTGATACAACAACTTACCATTCTTATAAGTATACCCTGAATGAGCCTCTGGATTTAGGAGCAAATCCTGAATGATCTGATGCCACTTAGGATCTGATTGAACCTCCTCTAACCACTCCTCAACTTCTGTCATATTAACCACTAAGAGTGCAAAATACATCTCTCTCCTAGAAAGAGCATCAGCCTCTGTGTTTTCCTTACCAGGTTTGAATTGAATTTCAAAATCAAACCCTATTAACTTGACTGCCCATTTAAATTGCTCCTCATTGCCTATGCAGTGAGTTTAATTAGCCAATTTATGCATAGCCCAAAGGAGACCCATTTACAAGCTGCCCACAGAATTTTATAGTACCTTAAAGGAACTCCAGGAAAAGGGATTCTATTCAAAAGGAATGGTAATGTGAAGCTTGAAGCCTATACTGATGCTGATTATGCAGGGTCAATTATGGATAGGAGGTCAACTATAGGATATTGCACCTTTCTTGGAGGAAATCTTGTGACTTGGAGAAGCAAAAAGCAGGGTGTAGTGGCTCGGTCCAGTGCTGAAGTAGAATTCTGAGCCATGGCACAAGGTATATGTGAGTTGCTATGACTTAAAATCATCTTAGAAGACTTGAGGATAAAGTGGGAAGAACCTATGAAGCTCTATTGTGATAATAAGTCAGCAATCAGTATAGCCCATAACCCAGTGCAGCATGATAGAACAAAGCATATTGAAGTAGACTGACACTTCATCAAAGAAAAGCTTAATAGTGGTTTGATATGCACTCCATATGTGTCCTCTCAAGACCAAATTGCAAACATTCTTACCAAGGGACTGGGCTGCCATAATTTTGAGAAGATTGTATCTAAGCTGGGAATGGAAAACCTCTATTCACCAGCTTGAGGGGGAGTGTGGGAAATCAAATAGTATTTTAGGAAATAATAAATCAGGAAATTTGTATATTTCCTTGTAATCTGTACAAATTTGAATAATTAGGAACAATCCCATAAATCAAGAGATCCTAGCATAAAATAGAGTTATTATATTTCCTAAAATAGCTTAGGTCTCCTGTATATATCTTATATCATCTCTTTGTATTAAAATAATAAAAAATCTTATTTTAGTTAATCTAATTTTCCAGAGCCTTACTAGCTGACGGACTTTATCAATCATGCGGGTTATTATTTAGTGTTAAGTTGCCACCAAATGTTCGTTGCTAGTGCTTTTATGATATTGACTAATTGCTAACAATATTTCTAAAACATTCTATATATAGATACACATGGTGATTGAGGAAGGAATTGCCTACATTATAAAATACTGAATCTAGTTTCAACTTGAAATATTGCAATTATTTGCATTGATTCCCTGAATAATTTCTTATCCTGTGTCTTGTAGGCAGTTCGGCACCAAAGTGTGGAGCAACTCCTGCTTCTTGGTAGGATGCTGCAGGGGACAACGAAGCTTCCTTGGATTTTTTCACACCATCCTGCAGCCACTGGCACTTTTTTCACTCTTATGCTTCTAGGGCTCAAGTACTGCTCTTGCCAGTGTCAGGGAAATCTGCAAAAATTTCATCTGGGGCTTCAGCTGCTGGAAGATCGGATTTATAGGTGAACACAAGTGTCTTAGTTTTTTTTTTTTTGGCATTCTTGGTGATTTTCTCCTTTTTTATCCCCTTTACATGTGCTTGTTAGAGTGTAAGCCTGTAAGGTTTACAGTACTATTGTAAATCATATAGTAGCTGATCTTTCCCTCAGTAATGACTCATTCAGTTAGGACTTTAGTTAACATGTTAGATATAGTCTAGTCAGTGTCGGGTCAGACCAGAGTCAGTAATATAGCTAGCTTCCTCAAAACTCTTCTATAAATTTGTACTGTTCATTACTTATCAGTAATAATAAAATCCTTCAGTTTTTTCTGTTTAGTTTATCTGAATATACTAATTCTATAAGTGCTAATTGCTATTTGTGTTGGCAGTATCACTTTGTTTGCTATTATTTATTCATCAATTTGTAACTTTCTTCTTCTGCTTGAAGCATGTATTTTTTAAGTTCTTACCATATTTCATGGAAGATAATAATCATAAACTGTATTCATTATTCAGTTCCTCTCTTGCTTTGTTTTAATTCTCTAATCTTGGATCCTTGAAATATTTTCTGGAAACTGCACAACTTAGCCTGCTCTTTTAGATGATCAAGTTTTGTCAGGACATAGCTGGGATGAGTTGCTACTTGGAACTGGTGAAGTTAAGTGGACTAGTTCTTGTGTCAAACCAGTCTCTGACCGTTCCCCTGAAATTTTTGTGCTGAAAATCTCAATCTGTTTTATATGTTCTCCATGACTTAAATATCATTAATTAAAATCCCTTATCTTTCAATTCTAACCAATGAAAAATGTTTGGAAATGTGCTCTAATTTATTTTTTTCAATTAAATGCTTTGCCCGGTTAAAATTAGTCAGTGTGTATCTTTTGTATTTTTATATTCTATCATTTCTATTGAAAATCAAGAACCAAGTCTTGTTCCATTTGGCAAAAAATATTTATGTCTTTTAATAATGTTAAATCTGCATTTATTTCAATTTGAGTTGGAAATTTTTATGGATTAATCAGCTGAATGTGAGTGAGTGGGGGGCTGGTATATATTCTCCTGAAGCAGTTAGTTTTTTGCAAAGATAGATTATATTCATTATGTTCATCTTTCTTTGGATTAATTGAAAATGTTATTTGGTGCATTTCTAGGGCCTCTTTGGGTTGGTTCGCTTTTGAGCCTGAATGGTATGACACAAACTATACAAACTTTGCTCAGTGTGAGGCCCAGTCTATTTCTATATTTGTTCAATACCTCTCAAATATGAAAGGAGATATCGTTCAAGTTGGGTCAAAAGGAAATGGACAAGAAAATGGGAACTCTGTGACTGAAACGGTAATATTTCTATGATTAGCATTATCATCAACTTACACTGGGAACATCGAAACTTTAGATTTTTACCTCAACTTAAAATTGTTATGATGTCCTTTTAATTTTTGTCTTTCTGTCAAAGTGGTTTTATTTTTGCAATGGACTTCAAAATATCCTAATCTGAATTTCTACATCTATGATAGAGTGATCAACATCATCCTGTTTGGGGTCAAATGGAGAACTATGCTTTAGGAAGAGAAAAGCGGAGGCAGCTACTTTTAATGCTATGCCAGTTTGAGGCTGATAGGCTTGACGTCTGGGCACAGCCAACTAACACCAAGTATCTCTCTCTCTCTCTCTCTCTCTATATATATATATATATATATATATATATATATATATATATATATTCGTTTCTGATCACTTGAATTTCATATGTTTTGTTTTACTTCTTGCCCTAAGCTTTCAAATACCTGGTATGTATTTTCAGGGAAAGTAATTCCCTAAGACCCAAGATTAGTGCAGATAAATGGGCAGAATATACTAGGACTGCCTTCTCTGTGGATCCTAGGATTGCTTTATCTTTGGCCTCAAGGTTCCCAGCCAATACATTTGTAAAAACTGAAGTGACTCAGCTTGTACAGGTATGTTTTTTTTTTTTTTCCAATAATAGAGGTTGAGTGTCTGCAAAATGGGAATTGTTTTGGTAAGTTAAAGGTTAAAATTTAATTGTCTTGAAGAATTACTGTTGCCTATGTGCTCTTGAGTGTTTAGATTGACCTCCCATGAACATCCTAAACAATCAAGGATGAGTATGGACAACTTCTATTGCATAGGGAGATTAATTGACCAACTAACTTCTTTCAGTTGGACACATTCTCATCCTCTATTATATCCTACCTCAGCTACTAGAGTTAGGGCGCTAACTAGCTAGCAATTACTACTTCTCCAACAACTTTAACTAACAATGTCAGAGTAGCAGAGGCTGACCTGCTTGAGTCCTTGGGCCTATCACGTTTCCCTCCTAATTGGGGTTACTTGCTAATGACCTTAGTAGTAGTCTATCCAAGGATATTGAATTGAGATTCAAATCTTGAATCGTCAAACTATCTATTTTGTGAATTGTCGTAATTTTTTATTGAAATTTTTATATCCAGGTACAATGAAAAATTACTTCAAATATATCATATAATTGATATATAGTGTTCATTGTAAACAATTTAAAATAGAAATAGATAAAACAACTTGAGCAAAAGTCATACAAAACAAAACTATTAGTTATATCTTAGTTTGTGAAGTCTTTACTTTAGAAGAATTGAAACAAAAAAATTAAATAGATAATTAGACTACATGCTAACTTGTAGGTAAGGCCCAATTTCGTGATATGGCTCATCCAGGACAAGGTAAGTCAGAAGTAATGTATCGGATTTTTGACCCATTAGAAGAGCATGAAATTCCCAAGAATGAAAGTATTGAAGCTGTTGTAAGGGACTACAAAATGATGAGCCAATTGATACAAGTTATGCAGCTGCTGCAACAGTGGGAAAGGACCATGTTGTTATGCTTGACAGTATTGATGCTGTAAATGGTAGTTTTGTTGAGATAATCACTGGCTGGTTTGCTGCCAATGTGAACTTCTCAAGAAACAACTCACAAGCCTTATAAGTTATTGAGGAAGCAATTGTGTTGGTGCTCCAAAAATTTTGTGGCGTGACTACAAGAAATTGTAAACATCTTACTGAAGTTAACAAGAAAGGACCTATTGAAGCTAATTTAATGAGGGTTTGCAAAACTCTTTTGTGGGCTGTGTCATCTATCTATACTCTCCATATTGCAATCAACTTTCTTCAGTATTCATTAGATAATTGTAGCATTTTACATATCAAACAGTGGGAACCTGGTGGAAGGTATTATTGCCAATGAAAGGAAATGAGCCAAGTCATCAAGCTATTGTAGGCAGTTGACGAAAATAATTCAAACCAATTCAATTTTAAATCAGACATTCTCCTTGAGGACAAGGTGAATTTTCCAAAGGGACTATTGTTAGGCCTACAAGTCAGATTTGCCACAAAAGAAGGAAAATAACAGAATGGTTACATGGTACTAAGAAAATGGGGAGGGTGATATGAGAATGAGGCAATGGGACCAAAAGGGTGAGAGAGAATGGGTCTATAAGGTGGGAGGGTACCCCAATGAAAAGGGGAATTATTCTAAGGTTTTGGGTAGTGATTTTGAGTGGAGCCTATGGGATGTTTGGTGGAGTATTAAGTGTTTGCTTCTCATCCCTTAATAGCTAGCTTTTGAGAGTGGGTTGCCCAAGTGATTGGGTACTTACAACGTGTGAATTGTATAAGTTATATGAAATTACATAGGTTTATTAGTGTATTGTAAGATACAAAGTCATTTACTATTCATCTTGAGATACAAATCAGTGGAGAGTCATACTGTATCAAATCATAATATACAAATTGTGAATATTAAGATTCCAATAAAACTAAACCCAGGAATATTAATACATACATGAGGGACCAATTCAAATTGAAAAGAACTAAATCAATTAATACATATATGGGGGATCAATTCAACTTGAAAATAAGTAAATCCATTAATACATACATGAGGGATGAATTCAACTTGAAAAGCTTAAGCTGTTCAGAGGAAGGGCAAAAATTGGTTTGATACGTCTAATAAACCTCCTATGTTTTAAACTTCCATATAACATTCCTAACCTATGATTCTTGGTAAGCTTAAAAGAATCCCCATACCAAACACTACCGAAGTAAACAAATACATCAATGCTCACTGTTAAATTGTGATGTGAACATGACCTATGATAACGGCTAGAGCAAGGGAAGCAAATGAAGTTCTTCATCAAGTATTGTTGGTTGACCAAATTGTGTTTTGGATTAATCAATTAATGAGTTTTAGTTTAGTTTTATTGCAAGTTGTAAGAAGGGCCCAATTGAAAATTTAGTTATCAGTCTTTGGGAGACCAAGAGGATGTATAAATTTTGGATGCCACAATTTCAGTTACAATCAATCATTAAGTAGTTTTCAATTCCTAGGTTAATAAATCATTATTAGCATTTATTTTCCTTGAATGAATATTGTAACTCTAATGGCAAAATTTCTTTATAAGCTGAACCATTTTTATCATAATAACGAGTGAAATTTTATTCAGAAATATTAGAGTTTATCTCTTTTATCTTAGTGAAAGTGATTCTCCTAAGTTCTTGAGTGATTCAAGAATATTTGGCTGTATCAAAGGACTTTCACATTCTTTGTGTGTTGTCTTCCTTGGGAAGAGTGATTCTTTCCTTCCACCTTCTTTCTAATTTCTAAATTTCTTACAAGGTTCTAACCCTAAAGATCCTAAATTACCCCTTGTGATTCATATCAAATTGTCTGTCATAGTTATATTGTTATAGTTCAAAAGCAATATGCTTTGTGTCAAAGGAGGAAATAAAACCAGCCATACCTGAGTTATATTATATATCATGTCGGAATTATATGCTTATTTATCTTTCGACAAAATAATTTTGTGCTTGTGTTGTGTAGCTTTTTTTAATTTTTAATCATTTCGATGAGAGAATACCTTTGCTTTACAGGCAAATATAGTGGATGTGCGCAACATACCAGAAGCGTTACCTTTCTTTATCACCCCAAAGGCAATTGATGATAATTCAGTTCTCTTGCAACAATTGCCTCATTGGGCTCCTTGTTCTATTACACAAGCTCTAGAGTTCCTTACTCCTGCATACAAGGGGCATCCACGGGTTATGGCATATGTTCTAAGGGTTTTGGAATCCTATCCTCCTGAACGAGTGACCTTTTTCATGCCACAGCTGGTGCAGTCCTTGCGACATGATGATGGGGTTAGATATCTACTGAAATTAAGTTTCACGGTTTATTCCTTTAGTGTGTGCTTTCCTCCTTCTGTTTCTCTATGGACATACAAACCCGATTTACATTTTTTCACCATTAAATAAGCCTTGTATTTTTACAGTCGTGATAACATTTAGATTTTCGAAATATCATGGGAGCTCAAACAAAAATACTTCAATAAAATTAATGTGTTTTCTCCCTGTTGAATCTCATTATGCATTGTTATCTTGATTATTTTAGTCGCTTCTCCAAAAAAAATTAACTTATAAAGTATCTTGACTTAATAAAAGATTTCACTGAGGGAAACATGTTCAGCTCAGACATATGACAAATGAAAATTTCTATCCTTTTATTAAAGTTTTTTTAAATTGAACATTTTCTGAAGTTAATCTCTAATAATTGATGGGAAGGTGTAAATAACATCAGGTCAGTAATGTCTTTCAGCGTGTTTTTGCTTGGTAATCTATTGCGTACTTTTTTCTTTTGTAGAAATTAGTTGAAGGTTATTTGCTCAGAGCTGCTCAAAGAAGTGACATATTTGCCCATATTCTTATCTGGCATTTGCAGGTATAACTTGTGATTTGTTTTTCTTACCTTCAGACTGTGGACCCTTTTTTATTGCCAATGTATGCATTACAAGTTATTTGTTTTTTATTTAATAAGTAGTTAAACACTGATTTTATTTTGGGCAGGGTGAGACTGTACCTGAGCCAGGAAAAGACCCAAGCACCGTGAAGGTATGCCAAATCCCAAAAGAAAGTTTCTTTATATGCTGTTTAGTTAATTAGTTATTGCTATCATATACTGATAAAAGTCATGAATTTTAAACTCAAATCACATCGTGTTACGATTAATGCTGTCTTGTGAATCATTGTTTAGGCAATGCCTAATATATTCTGAGCTGTGACCACTGAAACCAAATGCAATGACGTTTTTAAATTTTAATTATTATTATTGATAAACGAAATTTAAGAGCTATGTTTGTGCTACTGATTGACTGTGTCTAGTTTTGCTTCAAAAATATTGTTAGACTATTTTATGCGTCTCATTTGACTTTCCATATATTTGAAGAAGACTTCATGGTAAAGTACACACCTTTCTAAGAACATATGTTCTAATTTTAATACTTCAGTTGAATATTTTGGAGATGGGAAAACCCGTTTGAGGGTGACACAATCATCAGATTTATATATAGATATGTGTGTGTTTGTGTGATTTGCGGTCCCTTTGGTATAGAAAAAAGAGGGGGAAAAGAAATGAGTGGAAAAGAAAAAAAAAGGAAGAGAAATCAATTAGAAATGTTGTTTAGTTGAAGAAAAATGGAGAGAAATTAAGAGGAATTTTTTAGTTTAATATTATTTTTATTATTATTAATATTACTTTATTTCTTTATTATAATAAGGAAAAATATATTTTGACAATCTATTTTTACAAACATCCTATTGATAACCTTAAAATATTATTTTTTTGGTTGATTGATGGAGAGAGAATGAAATAAGATAGATAAATAATAATATAAAAATCTAAAAGTAAGTTGTTGAATGAATGTTTTTGTACTTTTGTGGTGTCAAAATATCAATACTCTTATAATAAAGTAAAATTTTAAAAAACTTCCCATAAGCAGTTATGAAACTCCCATAATAGATTATTCAAAGAAAACCTGCAGGTTGATCCCATGCGTTTTTTCTTCTCATTTCAAACCTAGCAAATCACTCTCCCTCGTTTTCTTTCTTTTTCTTTTCTCTTCCGGTCTCATTCATTGTTTTCAAATTGACCGTTAGCCTTTGTTTGGATTGGGTAAAGGGATTGAGAGAGTGAAAAAACAAAGAAAAAAAGAGAAATATAATGGAAAGTGAAATTGTTTAGATTGGGGAAAAAGAGAAGGTGAGAAGAAATAAATGGAAAGTTTGATTATTTTATTGTTTTGACAAAATAGAAAAATTAAATTAATTGGTTAGTAAACTGAATTTCTAAAATATCCTTAGTTAAAATTTAATAAAAAAATATTCATTAAAAATGAAAGATGATTAAATATAAAATAATTAATTTTAAAACTAGAAATGATATTACAAATTTATTTAAAAATGATTTTTAGATTATTTAAATAATTAATTAATCCATGTACTCATTCATGTTTCATATAACTCAAAATTACATTTTGATTTAATAAATTTTGATAGAGATTAATTATTAATAAAATTGATAAACATTTTACAGCAATAATATAATTTTAAGAAAATAGTGATATTTTGCCGGACTTGACACTTAAAAATAAAACTTTGTACAAGTCTCCCATAAAAATATCAATTTTAGCATTTATTTAGTTATTTTTATTTTGTACTTGTGAATACTTTAAATATATACATATATATATATATATATAATAATAATGATAATAATAATGACTAATTTTATACAAATTATTTTATTTAGACGCTAATTTTTAATGATGAGATATTTAATTGAACTTAAACATAAGGAGAAAAAAATTAGAATTTAATCTGGAAATTAATTATATTATAATAATCATATAAGGACATATCTATCTCATTCACTTCAAACCTGTATGTTATAAGTTCAGTAGGTGTAATTCAAACCAAAACACAATCGCATATACGCAAGCTTCTGCATACATCACAACATAATTGATTGTCGGAGCTGCTACAGCCCCATAATTGATAATGCATGTCTTCACTTTCTAATCTGTACCATATGTGTTTTATAAGTTGTGAATATAAGAACCAAAAGCTAGCCACTCAAGGGCAATGCAGTAATTCACCACAGCCAACGTGGCTTTCCAGTTAAATATTCTCTTTCAGTAGGTAAAGTTTGCATGTTGGATCCCATATCCTTATCCATGCAAATCTTCTCAAGTTTGTTGATATAAACAACCTCTTTCCATATAAATCCACTTTCTCATTTCATCAATTAACAGTGCATCGGTAGATGGCAGATGCAAACACAGGCTTAGAGAGAGAGAGAGAATGTTTACGGAGAAAGGCACCTATAGCTTACTTAGAGATGGATACAATAGATGCAACCAAAAACAGCTTTTTATGGCAGACAGTAAGTTATAAAACAACAGCTTATCTAACATCAAATAAAGCACTGTCAATGGTATCCTCAGAATTTAAAGAAAAGTAAGAACAACTGAAAAAAGCAAGAACTTGTCATCTTGATTATCAAAGTGAGATGCGATCCAGGAACCCGAAGCTGGTTACTAATTCATAAAATAGGAGGGAATATAGTTTTTGTTTCAGGCTTGTACAGTAATAACAATTAGCGCATTACCTATTTCTTGGCTACAGAATTAAACGATGAGGTGCAATGTATCAAATATTTGGGCCCTTAGTTGTCAGACCATTGTATGGCCTCAAGCAAATTATACGGTGCAATATGCTTGTTGTCCTGACAGTCAATAAGATGCAATGAGAAAACCCCTTTTTGAGGATGATCGATATGGCAGTTGCTCATATTACATTAAGTTCCTCAATTTGCAGATACATTTTTCTAGTTTTGTCTGTAATCTTTGACACTTGGCATTCAAATATGCAGCACTACTTTCAGTACTTTGTCAAAAATTCAATATTAGCATCACGCTCTTGAACACTCTTTCAGTCACATTTTTATTATTAACTGGGAATTTATTGAAAACCCACTGAAATAACAAGTCACATGTCACTCCGTACTTAATGATACCACTCATGACTTCGTATTTTATAATTTAGAGTATATTAGAGAATGTATTGCTGGCATTCAAATATATTCAATGTGAAGTCTTTTTATTTTTAGTATAGAATGGATATTGGTTTTTCAAATCAAGCGTTATATATTTTGTTTGTGTTTTTTTTCCAGAATGGTTCATTTCTAGAACTGCTGCCAGCTGTAAGGCAGCGTATAATTGATGGTTTTAATGCAAAGGCACTTGACATATTTAAAAGAGAGTTTGATTTCTTTGACAAAGTTACATCCATCTCTGGTGTACTATTTCCACTCCCTAAAGAAGAACGCCGAGCTGGTATTCGAAGGTACTGGGCAAATGTGTGAAGGCATATTTTTTATTTTGAATTTTTAAGTTAAATTTTCAATATTTTTTTGGTGAAAGTTATTGTTTATTTTTTACCATCTGCTAGGGAGTTGGAGAAAATTCAACTTGATGGTGAGGACCTTTATCTACCAACAGCTCCTAACAAGCTTGTTACGGGTATTCGAGTTGATAGTGGTATTCCCTTGCAATCAGCCGCAAAAGTCCCAATCATGATCACTTTTAATGTTGTTGATCGAGATGGGGACAGAAGTGATGAAAAGCCACAAGCTTGCATTTTCAAGGTTAGCTCGGTTGTATTTATGCTATGTAGGCTCAATTTAAGCATTTGAGTTTATACTTTGTTATCTTGTCAACAAAACTGCTGAACATTACGCCATCCTGACTTAGCAAATTAGCCGCCCCTGCTCTCCTTAAAATATATTCTTAATATGGCTCATGCATACCCTAGTTATATATGTATATTCTCTTAAAATATGCTATAGATTTTCCCTTTCTTTGGGGTGGGTTGGTAGATGGCTAGAGATAGTTTCATATGAAATATGAACCAAATAAAGAGTAGTTAGCAATATGCTTGGATTATGGTTAGTATTAGATAAACCAATTTTTTGCAGTGCGTGTTTGTTTCCTTTTCTCTTGTCAGTTGTGCTTAATTTGTGCGTTTTGTCATTCTTGGGCTAACTGCTTTCTTATATTTAAGGTCGGAGATGACTGTAGACAAGATGTTCTCGCCCTTCAAGTAATAGCACTACTTAGTGATATATTTGAAGCTGTTGGAATAAATCTTTATCTATATCCTTATGGTGTTCTGCCAACTGGTCCCGAGAGAGGTATAATAGAGGTGAGTTTATTACCGTTATGCTATGACATCGTGAGAATTATGTGGCACATCAGTCAAAATATATTCTTAATCAGAATGGAGAATGCTAGTGCAGTGACAACTGCTAACTTATGTTAGTCCTTGTAAGTGGAATGTGTTTCTTTTGGGCTATTGAATTCTCAGAGTCTAGGACATGGAACTGACATGGTTGTCAAATTATCATGTTAAACACAAGTTTTACGATCCTAGGACAAAAATAAGTTGAATCACATGTACGCATTTGTTTGGGCACTTCTGCAACATGTGTATGATGGTTTATGATATTAATTTTATGGTATTATACTAAAACAGTCAGTTAGGTAAATAAGTTCTGTTAATATTATTGAATATAAATTTTTAACTTGTATTTTTTGCCTTGTATCTCTTAAAAATGTCAAGTGATTTCTTATCAGTTTCCTTGAATCAAGGTTCAATGTTAGTTACTAGTGTCATGTATGGGGTTAATTGTTTTGTGGATTTGTAATTTTTTTTATTTTTCCCAGGTTGTGCCAAATACGCGTAGTAGAAGTCAGATGGGCGAAACAACTGATGGAGGTTTGTTTGAGATATTTCAGCAAGACTTTGGACCTGTTGGGTCTGCCAGTTTTGAGGCTGCTCGCCAGAACTTTATAGTTAGCAGTGCTGGTTATGCCGTTGCCAGTCTTTTGCTTCAACCAAAGGATAGGCACAATGGGAACCTTCTCTTTGATAGGTAAGATCTATCTTTCTTGCATTACTGTGTCAGCGAAGTCAGTTATAATTGCTAGTGGATCTGAATTTAACTTTTGATGCCTCTGAAGCATTATAACATCCTCATTATTTGGGCCCCTGCCCCTTCTGCTTTTAGGTTCCAATAAATGGCATAACTAATATGAATGCTGAATGCAGTGCTGGGAGGCTAGTTCATATTGACTTCGGTTTCATCCTAGAAACTTCTCCGGGTGGGAATATGCGATTTGAAAGTGCTCATTTTAAGCTGAGCCATGAGATGACACAATTACTAGATCCATCTGGTGTGATGAAGAGTGATACATGGAGCCAATTTCTAAGGTAGTAATGGCATTTCTATCTAAAGATTACAAACTTTATTTTTTCCTGGAAGTCATATATTCAAAGCTGAGCGTTCTTTCACTGTTTATTGTACATGTAGTTTGTGTGTGAAGGGGTACCTTGCTGCCCGTCGACGCATGGATGGGATCATCACTACTGTGGCTCTAATGCTAGACAGCGGGTTACCGTGCTTCAGTAGGGGTGATCCGATTGGCAATCTTCGGAAGAGATTTCATCCGGAGATGAGTGAGCGTGAAGCAGCCAATTTCATGACCCATGTTTGTAAAGATGCTTACAACAAGTGGACCACTGCTGGCTATGACTTGATACAGTATCTGCAGCAAGGCATCGAGAAGTGAGATGATATAGACCTTACCTAACATGTACATGGTTGCTTGTAGTTTTACATTCATTGTTGTCTCATGCTTCCATTTTTTGAGGAATTTTCACGGTTTTAGTAGTATTGAGGAGGGAATTGTAGTCAATTGCGAATGAAGATTCATAAGTTCTGTAATATTCTTTTTTGAGGGTTTCCTCAGTGTAAAAATACAGCTTTGTAATCTTATTTATTAATGGTAAATACAATTCATTGAGTTCACCTACAACCTCTCTTTATCAGACATATTGAATACGACATCATTCATATTTTATACTCTTTTTTTCTATTTTACACAAATTAAGAAAATCTTTATTGTTCATTATTTTTAATAAATTTATTAAATATTTTTCAACAATATCTTTATATTTTAACATTTTTTTCTCCATCAAAATTATTCATAATAATTTATTATTTTCTCTCTTTATAATAAATATAAATAATTAAAAAGAGAAGGATATAAATAATCAAAAAATGATTAATATACCTCTTTTCATACTTTACTTATTATATTTAATGTTGTCTTTTATTAATAAATGATTTAATTTTGTCACTTAATTTCAAATTAATGTGATTTGATATCTTAATTTTTAAAATCAATGTAATTTTGTATCTTTAATCAAAATTGACTTATTCCTGACAACGTTTTTTTCATATCAGTTTAAAACTATCACTGATAATTAACATCATTATTTTAAGTTAATTTGGATTGTAGGAAACAAATAAAAACAGGCGATCAAATACCATTTATAACAGTGGGTGAAATTGAAGAAGATAAATAAATAGTTGGAAAAAAAAAAACTCTGTTAAAAATATTATTTGATACCTACTGTTGACATATATATATTGAATATTTTTATCTTATTTCTTTATTAATAAATAATTCTTATATATAAATAGATAATATTCTTCATGATTTTTTTTCAAAAATAAAATATACACAGAAAAAGAAAATGTTACATTAACAATAGTATTTTAAAAGCATAAAGGGAAGTAACACAATTTTGCTTCGCATACTACACTTATGCCTTACAAAACCAACGTAATCTGAAGACGTAGAAAATTACATCTCAAAAGTATGAAAGCACCATTATTATTTATGGGTTCTTCTAATGGACTAATTGTATCTCTGCATTGTTGTCAATGTCCTTTTTACCCTTGCTTTGAGACCACGCAGCGAATTTACCAAAAGACCCTTCCATTTCCTCGAGGGTCTTGCCCTGTGTTTCGGGGAGCATGGTAAAGAAGAAGATCCATCCACACATCGCGACTCCCCCAAATATTAAGAAGGCCCCACCAATGGTGATCTTATCTGACAGGGACAAGAACGTCATTGAGATAACCCCACTCGTCACCCTATTCACCACAACTCCCATAGCCGCACCCTGGGCGCGTAGCCTCAACGGGAAGATCTCGGAGCTGTAGACCCACGTAATGGGACCCGCCCCGACGGAGAACGTGGACACGTAGGACAAAACTGTCCCTATGCTCAGCCCAATGGCCCACTTGAGCCCGGCGCGTGAGTGATCAATGACGGTGAGGCTCACGCCGAGCGTGAGAAGCGACAAGACCATCCCGCCAACGCTGGTCAATAACAGGGGCCGACGCCCGACCCGATCCAACAAAAACGTAGCCACTAAGATGAAAACGGTCTTGGCGAATCCAACGGCCACGGTTGCGAGAAGCTGCTCACCGTCGGATTCGAGGCCAGCCTTCTTGAAAATCTCGGGGCTGTACAACACGACGGCGTCTATGCCCGAAGCCTGTTGGAAGAAGTGGATGCCGAGAGCGGCGATGAGGATGTGACGCACCGCCGGTGTAGGGTAAAGGAGTAACTCTTTCCACACTCCATCTCCGCCGCGGTGTTGGTTGGATACTTCAACGACGTCGTCGTCGCAGTTCTCCGGGATGCCAGCGGCGGCTTTGATATCGGCTAGTCTGAGCTGAGCCTCTTGGGGAGAGTCGGAGATTTTGTTGAGAACTTTTGTAGCTTCGCCGAGCCTACCTCTCATGACTAGCCACCGTGGGGACTCCGGCATGGCTAACACTCCCACCGCCAGTATCACTGAAGGAACAGCCCCCACTCCCAGCATCATCCTCCATCCCAGCTTAAGTGGCAGCTTCGAAAACCCGTAGTTTGATATGTAACCCAGTAATATCCCTCCATTCACGAATACCTGAAGATCAACCATTATATTTCACCTTTCAAATAACTATGTATATATATAAATATATATATATATATATATATATATATATATATATATATATGTGTGTGTGTGTGTGTGTGTGTGTGTGTGTGTGTGTGTGTAGTTTGTTGGTAGCTACCTCGGGGAAGGATGTGAGGAAGCCACGGCAGGAAGGAGGGGAGACTTCGGCGGTGTAGACGGGGGCAATCATGAGAGCGTAACCGATGCCCACACCGGCGACAAAGCGTGCGAACATCAGAAACGGATAGTTCGGAGAGAATCCCATGAGGATGGCTCCGGTGAAGAAGATGCATCCCGCCAGGACGATGGTGTAACGCCGACCGATCCAATCGGAGGTTCTGCCGGCGAGGCACGAACCTATCAGAGAGTAAAGGTTGATGATTCCCACCACGATCTCGATTTGCACGTCCGTCAGTTTCAGGTCCCTCTTTATATATATCACCGCTCCACTCATCACCCCAACGTCTAACAAAAGCAACACAACATCATCAAATAATCATATAAACATGCTAATTCTATATAAGTTTCCCCACAAGAAATTCTTGTCTACTTTTTATTCCACAAGCAACAAAGAGTTTAGTAGTCAAGTATAGTATACTTGGTGCAGAAGAAAAAAAAGAACCTTAGTTAAACCTAGCTAGCTAGTTAGAAAAACTTGTTTTTATACAATACTCATGCATGTGAGGTCCAGGTGTAGTTATTATTAACCCTCACTCACCATAGCCAAGTAATATGGAAGTCATGGAAGCCAATATGGCACATGCGAAGGCAAACTTGTTCCTTTTGGGGGACTTTTGAGGATCAAAATCCTGAATAGATTTCTGAGGTTCTGCTTTGCCCTCATCCATCTTCAATATATATATATGAGTTTGGTTTTGTAGAATGTAGTCTATATTTCAGTGGCCATGAGAAGCACTGATACTGATATTGGGAGAGGGAGGTGGTTTATATAGAGGCCAATCACATCAGCTATGAATTGTTGAACGCGTGAAACCTCTACCCTCTCTTAGAAACGTCGTCGTCGTTGTTGTCACTTATCTTACCACTTCAAAACTGCGACAATAGCTAATGGGGTTGCCTAATTTTGTTGTTGGACAGTCTTTCCAGCCACGAGTACGTTCAGCAACTTCCATTTACTTTTTTTCTTTTTAACAAACCATCATTTTCGAATACACAGTTTAAAGTGTTTCTAGATTAAATTAATTAGATTAGTCACACCAAAAAAATAAACACACTTCTCAGTGAATTATTAAACTAGAGAAAATAGTTCATTCACGTGTATCATTTCTAAAGACGCATCAGCTTTTAACTCTGTTGATTTCTCTTGAAAGCAGTTTTGGAGTGGGGAATTTTAATCTGGATACAAGGAATAATAACATTTCTGATTAAGAAAAAAAAAATGTGATTAAGACAAGACACTCTCTCTGTTTCTCCCTCTCCGACCACAATAGTATGTCATGCATTTTGAACAGTGCTTCATAATGTTATCTTTGACACATGCAGAATTTTTTATATATGTGGATGTAAAGATATACTCAATTAATTAACTCTTCATAAAGTGATGGTAAAATTTATTTATTAATATTTGGATTTTTTTAAATGGATCAATTAAATTCTTATTACAAGTAAATTTAATATGGTATGAAATAGTTTATATAAATAATTGTCATTTATAAGGTTACAAATTTGTAAATGATTAACTTTTAAATCTCAATATGCATAATCATCCTGGTTTTAAGCATTAGTTAATTAGCAACGACATTTTGAGCCTCAAAAGTCCATTTATTTTCGTTAACTTTTATATATATATCTGGGGATTTTTCTTGTATGAATTTTTCATATAAATTTTGCTGCATTTTTTTCTACAACAATGGTCATATAAATCTTACAAATTCTGAGAAAAAACAAGTGTAGTACATGCATGCTGCAATAATATCAATTGATAAACCATGCATATATATATACACACAAATGTAGACCAAATTCAGTTCATGATTTGATGATGATGATGATATATTCATTATGAATTTATAGTGGGAATATGTGATAATTAAATTATATGCTGTAAAGTTAATAATTTTGAATGAAAAAAAGATAGTCCAAGTGATTTAACTTTCAAATTTTTGGAGGTATGCTAAGAAGGTTCCCACCATGGGTGGCAAATGTCTCATAATACATGTCATCAAGGTTTACATCATTTTCTTCTCAATTAAAGCGCGGGGTCAAATGACCTAACAACAAACAAAAGACAATAAAGAAGAAAATATTCTATCAAACAGTACCAAGAAAATGGAAAGGTTAGAAGACAAGGTTTCTATCACATTTTTTATATTGATTATATTTCATTAATGTTTCAAACTCATGAAATTAAGATCAAGTTAGACGTAGAATCTATTAAATTTTAGTAAACTTTAATTGATAGCACATATGGACGGTATATATTAATCTTTTCTTTCTGCTATGGTAATTCATTCCAATATTAGAGTTAAGAAAATAGAACATATAAATTATAATTAAAGATATAAACGCTTACAAGTTCTAGGATAAGAATGGGTACTAAAATTAGTTTGCCTACTTCATACTTTTATATGTTTAGTACAGTTATTTTATCAACATCTTCACAAATAAATTTGTAGAGTCTTAATATTCAAAAATGTCAAAAATAAATTCATTTTAATCCAGTTTCAACACTCATTATTATATTCTCGCTTAATTAATAGTTGAGCTTGAAGTGTTTGTTTAGAAGTCCAAATCAATTAAATGCATGTAAGGTTCTGTATTTTTTGAGTAGACAGTTCTACCAAACTAACCTAATCAGTTGAGTTGTGTTGGGTGCTCTCAAATCTTCATAAAATAAATAAATTTTGACAAATAGAAATTTTAAAAACTTAAAAAGGGAATGAACAATTTAAATCTCATTTTTTCTTCTGTTCTAACAACCACTAGCATTTGACTAATGACACTGCAGAAAGAACATCAAAGAGCTATGAGTTTGAATTTCTACAGAATGCAATGAAAACAACTTGTGACAACCATGTTTTCTAAGATCTAGTAAATGAAGGCAAATTAAATTATAATACAACGTGGGTTTAATCATCTGCATTCATAATAGTTAATGATGTACCATTTTTCTGAACGTACTTGATTCGTCGTGCGTGGACTTTGTTAATAAAAAAGCAATTTACATATATTGTAATGATTGAAATTGAAAATTTTCTATCGATGGTTTCTCCATGGCACACTTGGAAATCATGAATGCCTTTAAAACTTCTCTGCAACAGTTGTTTCTGGTGAATATTTCTGACCACCTGCAACATCCCACGTGCACATACGCAAGCAAAAGGTTTTCTGAATCTCTGTAACCACATTAAATCCAGCTAAAGATTTTTGCCTTACCAGAATTTACACGCCCATGATTTAGAATTTTTTAAGCTTCTTTTATTATTATTTTGTTATATGTCTGAAATATATTGATGTGCATCCTTTATATTTCAACAAGTGTTATCAATATATATCACATCTGTGACGATCATTTCAAACCCTAGCTAACGAAGTTCCCAACTTTGGTAGGATTAGGGAGGGTTATTGTGTATGGCAGCCATCATAGTCTACTATTCATTGCGGTTGGAAGCTGACACTTGAACTCTGGCTGAGGGACCAAATACCCATTACATACAACAAACATACGTGCGAGGAAAAATTTTCAATTTCAGCTTACCAATGTTGTGACTTCTTTGGCTCTTTCTTTGTACGTTAAGAGTAAGAGAATCTCGTTTACGTTTGTGTCTATCTTCTTTTTGGGCATGTGGCAAGTACGGTTCCCAATAGTGGTGGTCGTGGTGGAAAATAAGGCATTTCTGGTGCTATATGATCATCTCTTTCAGTAATCAGTAGAATAATGGGTGGACCAGTTTTGGCGCTATAACAGCCTTACCCAAAAATGTGGGACTCAACAACTCAACTCTCTTTGATGATGATCACTTTCAAATGAACTTTTGAGATTATGTGCGTACCTCTGCCACTGCCCTAGATGTAGCCTAACTCCCTTTTCCAGGAAAATATTAACGCGTTCAAGTTATTGGGAGATGAATCCACCGAATGAACTAGAATCACGCACAAAAAAGTTATCTATGTGGGATATGATTATGAAGCTATAGAATAGCGTAAAGAGAAAAGTTTGTCTCAGCATATGCGAGTCACTGTTGGTGTGGTTTGATGTGTCAAGCTTGTATTTTACGAGGTACTGGCAAGTCCCACATTGATCAGATACGGGCCTTGGATTCTTTGTATTTGGTATTGCGGTGTCATTTATGTTTATTTTGTGGCATTCATCCATTCTCTTTTTTTAGTAGTTAGTACCACATACATGTGACATGAATTCATAGCGTTAGATCTAGAAAGAAATATCATTAACTAGGTACACCATTCTCGTTTTGACTCTAACTAACGAAATTATTAGATGAAAAAAATATATTGAAAGTATTGCTACATTTTTATAAATTGATTAGCGTGTTGAAACCAAAGTTTTGTGTTTACAATGGAAGAATCAAGCAATTTTTAACTAAATTGACAAAATATAGTGAAAAAAAAAACCTTTATATTATAATGTTATAAATTTTTATATTATATTTTTATTTTAAGAGAATTTTTTATATTTCAATATTATTAGAATTGACTATAATATTATCTTAAAAGCTATTATTTCATTTTAAAGAAAACATGCCTAATTTCTTAAAAGAAGTTTATTATTAAGTATATATTTAGTTTTTTTAAGTAAAATGAAAATTAATCAAAATAATTTTAATTTGGAATGAAAAGAAAGAAACATGCTTAATTCTTTAAAAGAAGTTTATTATTAAGTACATATTTAGTTTTTTTAAGTAAAATGAAAATTAATCAAAATATAGTTTTAATTTGGAATGAAAAGAAAGAGATTCGCGTTTAATTTGGAAACAATAATCTCTAAAAGAGATGGATATATGATCCATTACATAAGTAAAAAAAAAAGTTTTGAATTAGTGGGAGATGGTAAATGAAGATAACTTTAAATGATTAATCAATCATTGGAAGAGATTGTATTTAGGAATATATATATATTAAAGATTGTGGTATGTGGAAGAAATTTTGTGATAATCCATGGTAGAGAGTTGGATAATCGTAATTAGAGGAGAGAAAACAAGTATGCATTTCATTTTTTGCAAAATACAATATTCTAAATAACTATGAGAGCAGAAAAATTATCTTAAATAAGATTCTAAAAATCCTAAAACAAAAAACCTAGATTAATACAAACATATTAACAAAATAAACAGAACTAATAGTCTCTCGTCAAGCTGGGTGATGGATGATCATCAATCAAAGCTTGGAGATGATGGATTTGAATTGAAGATGATGAAGAACTTTGGTAAAAACATCAACAAGTTGATCTTCCGATCGAATAGGCAAGAGATGGAAAAGATTGACTTGTATATTCTCATACACCACATGATATTTGATGTTAATGTGCTTTGTATGCTCATGAAAACTTGGATTATGAGCTATGTGATGCGTTAACTTATTGTCTGGTATTGGTTTGAACTTGGAGATCTCTAAAGAGATATTGTAGTCATTGGATCTCACATTGGATATAAGAGTTTCCCTATAAGCATGCGAAAAAGGTTAGCATTTGGTAAAAATTCTTTTCATTCAAAAAGAGTCTTTGTATTACTTATGAATGGTGTAGAACAAACACTACAAGAAATATTAAAATTACCGACGGTCAAAATCCGTCGGTAATAACAAAAATCCGTCGGTAAATGAATATTACCGACGGATCCGGATCCATATTAATTATTTCTCCATATTATAT